CCTCTCTAAATCCAGTATATTTTACTGTAGTGTGGGGTACAGAAGAGACAAGAATTAACACTTATAAGTGTGCTGGCACTTTAGTTATGTTCTCACTTATTCCTCCAACAAGTCTGGGGCAGATAGCATTCTCCCCATTTCACAGATGATGAAACTGGGGCTGTGTGTTTGCTGGTGAGTTAGATTTGAAGCCAAGTTGGTACATTCGGTAGTCCATGTGTTTTCCACAGGATCATGCATCCTGTACTATAACCACCTCTGGTCATCCAGCACTTCTTTTTTTAAAATAATTTTTAAGCCTATATTATGAAGCACTTTTTAAAAAAATATATTTTATTGATTTTTTACAGAGAGGAAGAAGAGAGGGAGAGTTAGAAACATCGATGAGAGAGAGACATCGATTAGCTGCCTCTTGCACACCCCCTACTGGGGATGTGCCCGCAACCAAGGTACACGCCCTTGACCGGAATTGAACCTGGGACCTTTCAGTCTTCAGGCTGACGCTCTATCTACTGAGCCAAACCGGTTTAGGCCATCCAGCACTTCTTAAATTTTCATGATTTTTCAAAGAGTGCCAGGAGTGATTGGCATTTGTGATTTTAATTTCATCTTTTAAACATAGTATTTGATTTAAATTTTATATTTTAAATTTATTTGCATTTTAAATATATTTGCTTTGTATTTTAAAAAATATATTTGCTTAGAATTTTATACTTTTAATATGTTTGGATTTCATTTTAAAATATATTTAAAACTGTTTTTAAAAATTATAATAAAAAACACAAACATACAGTTGTTAGCTATCAAATTATAACACAGTGGAAACCAATGGCACATAAACTTGTGCTGATAGATTATTGAGCCAATCTGGAGATAAAGTTTTTTGGGCTCTCCCTCCTCTTTCTCTCTTGCCTAACAGAACTTTAAAAAAGTATTCTTTTTTATTTTTATTTTTATTTTTACTGATTTTGGAAAGAGTGAGAAGAGAGACAGAGAAAGATTTATTGTCCACTTATTTATGCATTCATTGGTTGCTTCTTAGCTTCCCTGACTGGGGATCGAATCCAGAAACCTTGCCATATTGAGATGACGCTCTAATCAACTGAACTGCCAAGCCAGGGTTCCTAACAGAACTTTTACATATAAATGTACCTATGGTAAAACCACACGGTTCCTAATTATATAGGCCATGAATATTCACTCAAACAGTATACTACACTCCACATAACTACCACCTCTGTCAAGAGAGCCACAATGTCCAGCACTCCCAAATTCCCTTGTGCCCCTTTCAAGTCACTAGAATCCCTTCCCCCTCACTAGTCTGACTCTAGAACCATAGACTAGTTAATCATATACCATTGATTAGGAAGGTTGTGGGTCTGCACTTCTAAGAATGTAGTGCTCAGTCAACAGCCACACAAGGCTTAGAGGCATGTATTTGGTCCATGCTCCTCTCGGGCCTTCGTGAGCTCCCACAGGCCCATGTGTAAGCTGCTACATGGCTCCACTGCTTATAAAAAGTGCGGTGTATTTCAGGTCTGACTTTTGTATCTAGGTCAAGAAATTTAATAGTCTTAATAATAATTTGATTTGCAAACTTTTAAATGTTCTAGTGTCAGTTGGTTACTAAACTTATCAGAGCAATCTGTTATTAAATACCCAACCACTATGTTGTATACCTAAAACTAATATTGTATGTCAACTGTAACTGAAAAGTAAAATAAAAAAAATCTGTGAAAAACACAAAGAAATGTGGTGTGCCTATAAAAAAATGACAAGGCACACTTTAAAAAAATATTTGCTTACTCTTTGCAACTAAACTAATAGAAGTAAGTTAAATGCTGAGCTTGATATAAAATTGCAATGGTTATATCTGTATTAATTACTTCAAATTTTGGTATTGATCAAAATAGTAATTTTTTCATCATATGTTAATTTTATGAGAAGTATAAGCGAAATAATTTTTTTTTACTTAAAATGTATAAAAGTAAATTATTTTTAAACTATTTAAAAATTAGGGTTCATATAAGATTTGTCTGAAAAAGTTATACTAAAAAGTTTGCAATCCACATCCTAGGACATAATTTGTTGGGGCATAGACATGTGATGCCCTTCAAGTATAATAGATGGATTTTTCTCTTCTTGACATGCAATTTATCTCAGACTTACATTTTTCTGGACTGCCCTCGTCCTTTTCCTATCTAGTTTGAAGCACTTCCTTTCTTTGTGGGCACAAAGGAAACAAAGTAATTACCATCCTGCCACCTTCATCAGGAGAGCACCACCTGAGCCTCTCCTTGTAGGCCTGGATTGTGGGGAGTGCATGTGTATGTGTGTGCATGTGTGCGTGCTAATAGCATTGGGGATTGTTATTCTTGTTCCACATATCTAAAAAGAATTTTACTCTTTCTTTCTTTCTTTCTTTCTTTCTTTCTTTCTTTCTTTCTTTCTTTCTTTCTTTCTTTTTCTCTCTTTCTTTTTTTTCAAAGAATAGTTTATTGATTTAGAGAGAGGAAGGGAGAAGAGAGAAACATAAATGCGAGTGTGTGACATCAATCAACTGCCTCCTGCACACCCCCTACCAGGGATCCAGCTGGAAACCTGGGCATGTGTCCTGACCAGGAATCAAACCAGCAAACTTTCAGTGCACAGAAGGACACCCAACCAAGTGATCCACACCAGCCAGGGCTTAGTATTATTTTAAAAGAGAGAGAGAAAGACCATCCTCAAAAGTCATTTCTTTAAGTGGAGGTAGCAGGGAAGAGGAGGAATGCTTGGGCCTGTGGGCAGTGATTCATCACAAGCAGCTTGGAGAGAGCACAGGAGTGTGAGCAGGTGAGCTGGGGAACCCCGCTTAATCCTCACAGGACTCAGGTCAGTGAGCTGCGCTGGACATCGGGCCTTTCTGACACGAGGACGAGAGGGGGCGGATGGATATACAAGATGGTGATCATCAGGGGCTGTTGGAGGTACAGATAGAAGGCAGATGGGTCCTGGGATGTCTGATGGGGCCTCTGAGCTGCTGGAAAATGGAGGCTCAGAAAGTTGCTTGGACTGTGTGAAGCTGGACTGAGGATAGAACCAACCCAACACTTGGTTGGGCAACACACACTGCACTGGACCCCGGAAACAGGCAGGACTTCATGGTGGGAAGCGGGAGAGGAGAGTGGGAGCAGAATGGGCAACTCAGGGCAAAATCCTGAGGCTCGGAGAGAAATCACAGGGCTCTCAACCGGGACTAGGCTCAAGCAATTGCTGAGTAGAAGGGCCAAGAAGCAACCCAGAGGATCTAATCAGAATGGAAACTGAGGAAGAGGTTCTGAAAGAGGCTGCCCGGCTCACAGTCAGGCAAGGAGGGCAACCCAATCCACTCCCCACCCGCTATAATTGGAGAGCAGGACTGGTGCATCCAACCCTGTAGGCTAGGGGTGTCGAACTCAATCAGAGAAGGGGCCAAAATCTAAAATCCAGCCTAAATCGCGGGCCGAATGGTTTACTGAACAGTCATAAACTGTCATTGTGATGGAAACGCAGCGGAGTGCAGTGATGACAGCGCGGTGCGGGCCACATTGCAAGGCCTGGCGGGACGGATTTGGCCCGAGGGCCTTGTGTTTGACACATGTGCTGTAGGCTGTGGGGGTGGAGGAGGATGACTTTCTAGATAAAACCTAAGAAGGAATTAGGGAAGTGGGACCACGAGATGCCTGGTCCCACTGGTGACGTCACCAGTGACTTATTCTGCTTTGCTGTGGTTAACTGCCCATCCCCTGACTTGCTACCTTTGCTATTTTCTATTTTTCAGTAGTTATCAGTACACAGCAGTGAATATGGCTGTCAACCAGACAGCCTGGTTTCATATTCCAACGTTGCCACTTACTAACCGTGTGGACTTGGCCAACTTGTTAAATGTCTCTCAGTGTCTATTTTTTTCTCTGTGAAGTTAGAATAACAATGGGACCAACTTATGGAGTAACTATAATTAAATGAGATTATGGATATAAAAGCCCATGGCACAGGGTAAAGGTTCAATAACCATTTGCCTGTGTTGATGGTGAGGGTAGAAATACTGGTAGCAGTAGAAGCAATGACAAACCAGTGGTCATGCATTTGTTTCAGAGATGGGGGGTAGAGGGGAGGAGAGGATTAGGAAATGGTGCCCTATTGGCTTGGGCAGAGCTTCCTACTGTGATTAATCTCTGGGCACTTCTCATTCTGGGTTGGTCCCTAGAAGCCTGCCCACAGCTCTGGACATCCTTCCTTCAGGTCCCTGCATTGATACCATCTCAGTAGATTCTTTTTGCTGCTGGGAACCTGACTGTCCCAGTCCCTGATTGTGTTGTGTGTCTTGGCATCAGTCTTTTGTGCTAGTCCTCAAACCAGCCCCTTCTCCCGAGTTGGCGGTGGGTACCAGCATTCTCCCAAGCTCCTGAGTGTGACTTTTAGTCATCCCTGAGTGGTTCTTCCCTCCCCCTGAGGCCCCATAATCCAAAAGTCCTCGAATCCCAAGACTCTTACCCATGGAATCCCTCAGATCCTCCCCCTCCGTTCCCCTCCCACACTATTTCCTTCCCACTCAGATCCCCTTTACTGCTCACTTGGGCTATGACAAGAGCATCCTAAACTTTCAGCCTCCTCTGCATTCCTAATTTAGCCTATGATTTGTCACCAGATTAATTTTCCTACAGCTGGAGTTTACTGAGTTTTTTTGGCAATGAATCACAATAAGAAATAAATCTTACTTCCCAACCCTGTACATACATACAAAACTTACAAAGCAATACTGTGCTTTTTTTATTATTATTAAAATTATTATCTGTGTACATATACCATTGCCCTCCCCCATACATACCCTCCTTCCCCAGAGTTTTGTGTCCATTGGTTGTACTTATATGCATGTATACAAGTCCTTTGGTTGATCTATTATCTCCCCCAGATCTCCCTACCCTCCTCGATGTAATTTGACAATCTGCTTGTTGGTTCATCAGTTTATAATGTCAATATTGTGCTTTGATATTGTTTTTATTCATGACCATGGAATTGACTTTATAACTCACTAATGGATCATATTCCATAATATGAATATGGATATGAAAACACTGCCCCACATAACTCTCATTATGTCACCATCCTAGTGAAAGCTTCTGGTAGTCCCCATCATTGACTGAGTTTACTACAAGTTCTTTTTTTTTATTTTTTTTAATATAATATATTTTATTGATTTTTTTTACAGAGAGGAAGGGAGAGGTATAGAAAGTTAGAAACTTCAATGAGAGAGGAACATTGATCAGCTGCCTTCTGCACACTCCCTACTGGGTGTGTGCCCTCAACCGAGGTACATGCCCTTGACCGGAATCGAACCCAGGACCCTTGAGTCTGTAGGCTGACGTTCTATCCACTGGGCCAAACCAGCTTCGGCTACTACAAGTTCTTTAACCTAGCACTGAAGGCTTCTTTCTATAGAATGACCCCAATTTTTCTGTCTAACCATTTCAGTACCTATTTCCATTCATGTCATTTAACCTCTCTGGGCCTTAATGACCTAATATATTAAATGGGAAAAAATATTCCCCCAGCCTGAAGGCCAGAGATAGAACTGATGATCCATTTAGTTTCTTCTATAACAACTATGATTCTGGAGTTGTAAATGCCCAATATCCAATAACCACACATCTCTCTTCTCTGGTCTCTAGACACTCCCATATCTATGTCTTTGTTCCCGTTGCCTCCTCTAGCTTCCTCCTTTGAAATCTCATCAAAATCCAGCAAGAGCAAAGGACACAAGAAGAAAAGGTCAGGACATACTCAAGGAATACAAGTAGTCCAGTAAGACTGGAGCCACTAAGCCTGGTATTTTAGACAGTGGTGGAAAGAAAAATGAAACCAAAGAGGTGGGATAAGCTAGTTTATATCAAACGTAAACCCCCAGACTGAGATTTCATCTTAATTTGGAAGTCATTAATATTTTCTGAGTAGGCCAAAACCGGTTTGGCTCAGTGGTAGAGCGTCGGTCTGCAGACTGAAGGGTCCCAGGTTCAATTCCGGTCAAGGGCATATACATTGGTTGAGGGCATATCCCCGGTAGGGGGTGTGCAAGAGGCAGCTGGTCGATGTTTCTTTCTCATCGACGTTTCTAGCTCTCTATCTCTCTCCCTTTCTCTCTGTAAAAAATCAATAAAATATATTTATAAAAAAATTTTTTTTTTCTGAATAGGTGTGACACAAGCAAAGGTTTAAGAAGGCTGATTTGCCTGGAGCTGGGGACATCAGAGGTTATTTCAATAGAAAAATTGAAAATGGATGCAGTTGGTGTTGGGACAGGCCAGACCAGAGATGGGTCCTAGAAATCCAGGCAGGCAACATCAAGGAGGTTTAGCTCCAGCCACTGATAAGCCTCCTGGAGAGCAGAAGGAACACATTGTCGAGATACAGGGGGCAGACTCAAGCAGAGGACCAAGAAGTTGCTGGTTCCTCCCAGTTCTGGCAACACAGCACCGGGCCATAGCCAGGAATTTGGACTCCTGAGCAGGAGGCCACTCCTTGACAGGACTGCTGAGAGCAAAGCTTCTGGCGGAAGAGAAGAGGAACCACCCTTCCCTCAGGTCCTTTATCTGACAGGCTGACTACTAGCCACTTTCGCACGCTGGTCTGACTCACAGCCTGAAGTCTGAGTGCCATCACACTGCCCCCAAGGCCTCTGAGGATCAGACACAAATTCTCTCTTCTCCTGGGCCCGGTGCACTGCTCCTTCAGAGTTAGCCTACATACCTGTGTGTGGGATTGGATTGAAAAGGGGTTATGATCTCTATCACCCCACAGATGTCACTGGCTGTTTGTCTACCTTCACTTGATGTTGGCACCTTACACTGTGTACCTGAAAAAGCCTGAGTACCAATGCTCTCTGGTGGATTATGTTGATGTTATGAATTCATTAACCTGAATGTCTTTCTAGATGAAAGGCTTGAGGTGCAGCCTCGACGACAATGGTGTGTGAACGGCTAAGGGAGAAGTGAGAGTTATGTGTTCTTGAGATTTGTTTCCACTCGTACAGAGGGAAACCAGTACCATTCCTATTTCTCCTCATGTGCTGTCTTCCAAATTTATCATAAACAACACGGTCTCCCACCACCCAAGGTGCTCAGGGGTTAGGTGGAGCCCCTCAAGGCGGAGTGGGGGTTGCAGGGAAGCTCTGTCTAGTGCTGGAGCTGCTGGGATCTGTGTGAGTCCCACCATAGACAGTGCTGGCAGCCCCACCACAGGTGGGAGAGGCTGGCTGTGATCCCTTTGGGGCAGCACGCTGCTGGGGGTGGACAGAAGGCATCTGACTGCCAGGGAAAGGGCATAGAACTGTTTCTCTTGGGAAACTCTCTATAAGCACTTGTTAGTGAGATTCCATGGTTCCTACTAAAAGCTGCCAGCAGGAAAACAGAGAGAAGGCAGATCAATTCCACTTTTGTTTTTTGTTTTTAAAATGTATTTGTATTGATTTCGTAGAAGGAGAGAGAAATAGAAACATCAATGATGAGACTCGTTGATCGACTGCTTCCTGCATGCCCCTCCCCCCCACTGGAGATGGAGCCCAACGCCTGGGCATTCCTGGTGATCAGGAATCACCATGACTGCCTGGTTCATTGGTAGATGCTCAACCACTGAGCAATGCTGGCTGGTCCCCTTTTGGGGCTCCTAGTATATGTTTTTAAATATACAAATGGCTAAAGATTTCAAAATCATAATGTATTTTATTTTTTAAAAATATGTTTTTATTGATTTGAGAGAGAAAAAAAACATTGATCAATCAGTTGCCTCCTTTATGCATCCCACCGGGGACAGAAGCTGAAATCTGGGCATGTACCCTGACTGGGAATGGAACCAGCAACCTTTTGGTGCATAGGACGATGTTCAACCAACTGAGCCACACAAGCCAGGGCTAAAAATCAGAGTGTTTTGTCATGTTTGTGTTTTTAAAATTAAAACTGCATGATGAATATTGTCTTCTTTTCCTACTGCAAATACAACTTGTGTCTGAATTCATAATTTCATTCGCAGAAAACACAGAAGTCCAAATTTGAGGCTCTTTATGAACATGGAACCTGGATCTCTTGCCATTCCCTTGTCCCACCCCGATCTCACCCAGTGCTCCCCTCCAAGGCCCTGATGCACAGAAGACGGGTCTCCCTCTCATTATGGCTTCGACTAATGCCAGACCGCTCACTGCTTTCATTCAACCACAGAGGGATCTCCCTTAGACTTCAAATCGAGCCTGGAGCTTTGTTCTGCCCCAAGGGACTACACCCAAATGCAAGACTCTGTCCATGTCTGAAGCAAGTCTCCTGGGTTGTGAGATCCTTTCCTGCCATCTCCGCCAATAAACCGTGCTTCTTGGCCTGAGTTCTCTCTGTGATTCTCAATAAGCACTAAAAAACTGGAGAATGCCCTATTTCTGAGGGCTTAGGCATGCTCACCTGTAACAACAGGAAAAGGAGGGATTCCCCAGAGAGACTCTTTGGTGTGGGCGTGTAACACCCGCCTCTAAACCACGGAGCCAGCAATAGGAGGTGCCCCGATGTCCAAACACAGAAGCACATGATTTGATTTCCATCGTGATAATACTAAGAACTGCCAGCACCACTTTTAAAGACACAGCCAAAAGGACCTAACCCAAAGCATTCACATATTTATAAGATTTTGGTTTTAGGGAGCAATGGTCAGAGGGACCTATTTCTTTGAAATCTGCTTCTTTTCCAGCTTTGAGGGGACCCACACTGGAGGTCAAAGCCTTGCTGGGTTTTCCTTACTCAGACTTTCCCCCTAAGAATTTCAAGCCAGTTTTTAGAGGATTAAGGAGTTAGCACTCAACCCTCACCATCTTTGTGAAGAACAGGGAGATCTGTCTCTTCTACAAGTAGGGGATCTGAGACCCTGGCACCTGTTCTGCGTCTTGGGTGGTGGGCCTGATCCCTGCCCCAGAGCTCACTGACAGCTGAAAATACAAAGAGATGGTGAGGACCAAGGAGTGACGCAAGTAGAGAGAACTGTCGAGAACTCGGTAACCTGGAGAGTGTTGACGAGGAAAAGGGCTTACTCTTCAGAAAAAGGAGATAAACAGGTGAGAAAGAGCGGAAGGAATAATATAGGATCTAATAATAATATGATATCATTAAAGGAATAAAAATATTTTTTCATATCAACCTCATCTTAATTATAAAGAGGTACAAATATGATGATGTAGTTGCCACGATTGTGGTTTTTGGCAAACAGCTATGTAATTTTGTTTCTTCACAGGCTGTAGCAAAGGGAAACATTTGAAAAATGTTTTTCATCCCAAGGAGGAAAAAAAGACACAAGTAGAAGAATCATCCCCCCCTCCCCCCAAGACCTGATTACACATTTGAAAAAGTAGGATACCCTTAAATATATTTATTTTAGGAAGTTTCTGTCCAGTAGAGAAATGCTAGAAAACAGAGCTAATTACTCTGTGTTTAGCTTGTGTTAGTTTTTGAAAGAAGAGGAAATTATACAGTACCACATCCATCATTGACTACCCAGCATTGGACATCCTAAGTCAAGTGACCTTTAGTGTGTAATTCTAAAGGAAACAACGACTGTTTCCTTCCCTTTCTTTGCCTTTAAGAGTAAAAATTCAGGTATAGATTTTTATATGACTCCTGGTAAATGTGATCGCCACAAGATCTCCATCTCCTGCTAGCAAGAACATTGTTCCTAGTGACTCTTCTTTACGTCTAAGGGGGGGGGGGGGGGGAATGCCATTCAGCATGTATTTATTCAGTGTCTGGTGTTTTACTGGGCATTGGAGATAAAATAGTGACCACTCACCCCACCCTCAAAAAAAAAAAAAAAAGAGCCTTGTGAACAGTATGGAGACTCCTCAAAAAATTAAAAATATAGCTACCATCTGACACAGCAAATCCACCTTTAGGTATTTATAAAAAATAAAACACTAATTCTAAAAGCTGATATACCCCTATGCTGCTTGCATTATTATTTACAATAGATAAGATATGGAAGCAACCAAGGTATCCATTAATAGATAAATAAATAGTGTGAGATATAATGAATTATTATTCAGCATTAAATAAGAATGAAGTCTTGCCATTTGTGACATGGATGGACCTAGAGAGTATTATGCTAAGTGAAATAAGACAGAGAAAGATGAATTACTGTGTGATTTCATTTATATGTGAGATCTAAAATGTATATAAATATGAAAGGGGCCACATGCTACCCTGACAAGCTCAGGAAAGGCCTGCATGGCGGTCTTGCATATTCAGAGACCTAAAGTAACCACAGAGGTCTGAAATTAAACTTTAACTAAAAGCAGTTATGGTGGACAGTTATGTCCTAGGCTGGTATCTTCACTGACAAGGTCAACCTTTACCTTACTTGAGCCAATCTGTCTTTTTGCATCTATGATACGATAACATTTCCTTGAAATGTCTTATAACCTCCCTTTTTCCAGACCCCTTGGGGCACAACCTAGTGTGCCTGCACACCAGGACCCTGCCTCCAAACATCTTGGAAGAGTAGATTTAGATTCTTCACCTTCTTTGCGGCCTCAACACCGTGTAAGCTGGTTCCCAAGGACTGAACACACTCCCTCAATACCGGCAACAAGGATCTCCCCATTACT